ATAATAATAATAATGAAAACTACAAAACATAAAAAACAACAACAACAACAATAATAATAATAGTAATAATAATAATCATCATAGTTCCTACTATGGCATTGGAAATCATATGAAATATAATATCACTTTCAATCAAATCAATGGAAAATATATGTAACAAGAAAACAATAACAAAAATAATGAGCAACAACAATAACAATAATAATAATAATAACAATAATAACGATAATGATAGCACCAACAATAATAAGTCATAACAAAAACAAAAATGATAACATTAGAGAACATAAAAGTAATAATAGTAATAATAATAACAATAATAATAATAATAATAATAACAACAATAATGATAATATAATATTTAAAACAGTATCAATAACAATAACAATAACAATAGCAACAATAATAATAATAACAATAACAGCAACATAGTAAGATAAATAACAACATAAATAATGATAATTATAATAATAACTAGCATCAGGAATAATATTGATAATAACACTATTTTCTAATATATGTAAGAATATCAATAAATGTAGTAAATAACAATAACAATAACTATTGCAAAAATTAGGAAGGCAGTAGCCATAATAACAATAATAGTAACAATGATAATAATAATTTTAATAATAATCATAATGATAAGAAAAAATATATATTACAACTCCAACTCCTCCTCCTACTACTACTATTACTGCTAAGTGCTATGATAATCTTGATACTGCCAGATGAGGATGACAATGGTAATAACAATAATAATAAACAATAATAATAATAATGTTAATAATGATAATAACAATAATAATAATATTAATAATAAAAATAGCAATAACATTCATTATATCAATATCAATAATAATAATAATACCAACAATAAGAATGATATTTATAATAGCAGCTGTAACAACAGTCCTACAACTACAACTCATAACAATAATAATAAAAATAATTAGAATAATAATAACAATAATAATAATAATAATAATAATAATAATAATAATAATAATAATAATAATAATAATAAATAAAATAACAAATAATAATAATAATAATGAAAATAATTATAATATCAATATTAACCCTAACAGTAATACTATCAATTTCACTAATAGTAGAAGTATCATAATAATAATAACAAAAATTATGATAATAATATTAAACATAACAATAATTACTATAATAACAGCAACTATGATAACAACAGTAGTAATAAAAAGATTATCAATAATAACCTCAGCAATAATAATAATAATAATGATGACGATGATAGAAATAACAACAAAAATAATGATGGTGATGCTGCTGCTGCTGATGATGATAATAACAATAACATTAATAACATTAATGACAACAGTAGCAATAACAATAATGATAATAATAACAATAATAAAAATAACAATAATAATAATAATAACAGCTACAATAAAACAACAATGAAAGGAATATCAACAATAATCATAATAATACTAATACTTTCACTTAAGTAATACTAAACATAACATTCAAAATAGCAAAGACCATTTGAATATTGGTACTGTATAATAATAATAATAATAATAATAATAATAATAATAATAACAATAATAATAATAACCATAACAATATCAATAATAATACAAGCAAAAACTACATCAACAACTATAATAACAAAATGATAATAGTAATAATATTAATAAAAATTATAATAATAAAAAATATGAATAATGTCATCAGCAAAACAATAACCTATTAACATTAATAACAGGAATAATAGTAGTAATAACAGTAGTAATGCTAGTTGTAGTACTAACAGTAGTAGTAACTGTAGAGATAGTAATTGTACTAGTAGTGGTATTACTACTACTGCCCAGGAACAGTAGTAGCAATAATAGCAATAGTAATTGCAACAGCAATTGCAATAATAATTGTAGGAGTGGTTGTGGTGGTGGTGGTAGTAACTGTTATAGAAATAATAACAATTGCAATAATAATAATGTTACTACTAATAGTAATAATGGAAATTCATACTATTGATGAAAATGAATAATTATCATGATAGTAATCTTAATACTAATAGAAATTGTAATGATAATGATAAAACCCTAAAAAAAAAAAAAAAAAGTCATAGCAGCAGTAGCAACAGAATATATAATAACAATAACACCAACAACAACAATAACAATTATAATAATAATAATAATAAAATGACGGTAATAATAATGATACTCATAATAATAATAATAATAAAAATAATAATTGTAAAAATAAGTGGCAACATCAATAACATTTTGTACTTTTGACAATTATCACAGTAATATTTATAAAACACCCACATGTCGCACAATGGCCTCCAGACCTGTCGGCACGTACGCAAAGTCCCAGGAGCCTACCACAATATCAGGTCACACTCCAACCTTCAAATATATAAGGTGAAGGCTTGTTGACTTATGCCAGAACACTGTGCAGAGACTGTGGTGACTGCTCGGCATCATTATTGTGCCGGAACGAAGAATGTACACTGTCGTCCAACCTGGCTTCTTCTAAATGAATATTCTATAAAGTTTTATATAAAAAATCTAAGTTATCCTGGGTATCTTGCATTAGCCTATGTTATGTTGTGTCTCGGATAATACCAAATAAGGTTACAATGGGTTATATGTTATGCTGCGTCTTGGCTTTTGTATTGCTATGCTGAGCTTGTTTTCATATATAGCAATTTGCCAGCTTAAAAAAAAGTGAAGCCTAAATAATGTTATTTCTGTTCTTTCACTCCATTTATATATAATAAGAGGCAGATATTTATTATAAGACCTGTCAGTAACTCGCTAATATACATAATTATAGTGTATTCATCATGTAAGATGTAAAATGGTATAGTGTAGAGAGGAAGAAAGAAGAAAAGCAATAAATACAAAAAAGAGAGAATAAAACACAAATTGTGGAACTGGTGAAGATTTTCTTTGTTTGACTTGGGCCTCGTAGAAAGATTTGTCTTGTACTGCTTGTGTTGTTTAGGCTAAAATGTGATCTAAATACATGCAGGTTATTTTTGTATGATTTATGTAGTTCTAACATAATACAATGCGATTGCAGAAAATTATTGAATACAGCATTAGCAGGATCAGTCTAATCAAGAAAAAAATCCTAAAATGACAAGCTCACTTTTATTTACTAAAATGGATAATAATCCACACACACACACACACACATATATATGATCATATACGTATATATATGTGTGTACATATTTGTATGTATATATATATATATATATATATATATATATTATATAATATATATATATATATATATATATATATATATATATACAAATATATATATCTATCTATTTCTATAATTATTATATATATATATATATATATTATATATATATATATATATATATATATATATATATATATATATATATATATATATATATATATATATATATATATATATATATATATATATATAATATATATATATATATATATATATATATATATATATATATATATATATATAATATATATATATATATATATATTATATATATATATATATATAATATATATATATATATATAATATATATATATATATATATATATATTATATATATATATATATATATATATATATATATATATATATATATATGTATCTATCTATCTATCTATCTATCTATCTATCTATATATATATGTGTGTGTGTGTGTGTGTGTGTGTGTGTGTGTGTGTGTGTGTGGTGTGTCTATCTATCTAGTGTATCTATCTATCTATCTATCTATCTATCTATCTATCTATCTGTCTATCTATCTATCTATCTATGTACACATCAAAAGAGAAACAAGGATATCAACCCCACAGATAAAGATAACGGGACCAAAGAACTCCCGCACTGATAAACAAGATAGTTCCCCATTCTCCTTGGTTACAAAAACAACAACAATCTCCTGCCTTTAAAAAGATATCCATAGACTCCTTCCTTCCCCCCCCCCCCCTTAATAAGAACACTTGTTTTCTGATAAAAAGGTCTTTCAAAAAATGATTTGTATAAAATCAAAAATGTTCACAACAAAGAAACATGGTAGATCATTGTCAAGAAAAATATTTAAAAGTGTCTAGAATGAAGATTTGTTTCTGTTGTATTGATTACATCACATGACACATCAGTTTCATACAACATACTGTATTCATTGCATAAAATATATTAGGTGAAATTATCCTTCCTCAAATCAGCTGTTTCTTTGCAATCTTTATTTTTCTTTATTTTCATTCCTCTTTCCTCTTGCTTATTTTCCTTCACAGCCTTTTAATTACCCCCTTTTTTCTCCTTTTCTTCTCTTTCTATCATATATTTCTCCTTTCTTTTCATATCCTTTTTATCACCTCTTTCTTCCCATCTATAGTTTTGATTTTCTTTCTCTCTTTCCATTCCTTTCAACACCTTTTTATATTGTATTTTCCCCCTCCTTTTTGCCTTTCCCATTTTTTTCTTTATTGCACCTCTTCTCCTTTCCTTTCCACACCCTCTTTATCATCCCCTTTCTATCCCTCTCTCTTCGCTCCTTTTAATCCACAAAAAAATAAAAAATCACGGAAATCACCGCAAAACCTCGAAAATATATTATTCTCGCCATCGATTATCCTTCGAATAAACCACGAAGAGGAGAAGAAGAGGAAGAGGAAGAGGAAAGAGGAAGAAGAGGGGAGAGGAGAACGGGAACTTAATCTCCTTTTGGACGGCCGATGTCGCTCCATTCTCGCCCCAAATCCGGCCAATCTTGGGGCCAAACGAGCCGGACGGGATCCCTCTCGCCACGGCCCTCGTCCTTAGTACCTTCCACGTGCCGACGACGCGAGAATTTTTGTCATGGAAGCCGGCCATCGTCGCGTCGTCTGCACCGCCTCTTCCCGCCATGACGCTCTGGCCCGACCGAAGGGGTTGCATCTTTCGCGTTTTCCTTGTTTTTTTACCCCTCTTCCCTTTTTTGCCTTCTCTTTCTTTGTTTTT